GGCGAGGGAAAAGTATTATTACACCAGGACTGGAAGCAGAGGGCTGAATATTTGACACCTCAAATTCATTCAGCCGTTTCATAACCTTCTGGCGCTTACAGGTCTCGGTTCCGCTTTCGCTGACACCTCCGGATTAGCGATGATCGCCGATAGATTTCCGGAAGAACGTGAGCGATCAAAGGCGATGGGCATCGCATTAGCGTTCATATCATTTGGATGTCTCGTTGCACCCCCGTTCGGAGGGGCAACGTATGAGTTTGCTGGAAAGCCGGTTCCGTTTCTGCTGTTGTCTCTGGTATGCCTTGTGGACGGGTTTTTGGTATTTGCTGTCATAAAGCCAAAAGCAAAACGGACAGAGATGGGGGAAAGGGTTAAAGGCACTTCCATCATTCGTCTTTTGATGGATCCTTACATAGCGGTGTGCGCCGGATCGTTGGTAATGGCCAACGTGTCGCTAGCGTTCCTTGAACCGACCATCTCCAAATGGATGGAAGACACAATGCCGACCGTTACCGAGTGGCAGATCGGCTTTATCTGGCTGCCGCCGTTCATTCCCCATGTATTGGGAGTATACGCTACGGTCAAGCTCATGCAGAAGTACCCGCAGTACCCGTGGCTTTTGGCGGCCATCGGCCTGGCGCTCGAAGGAGCCAGCTGTTTCATCGTACCGTTTGCTCGGAGCTACGGCGTCCTCATCATTCCTTTGAGCATTCTGTGCTTTGGAATCGCCCTCGTCGACACGTCGATTCTCCCTCTTCTTGGTTACCTAGTCGACACGAGGCACGTCTCTGTGTATGGGAGCGTCTACGCCATTGCGGACATTTGTTACTCTCTCGCATATGCGTTTGGCCCGATTGTTGCAGGCGGTGTAGTGGCAAAACTGGGCTTTTTCAGCCTCAACCTTGGTATTTGCCTCAGCAACATTTTGTATGCACCAATGTTGTTCATCATTCGAAAGGTTTACGCATACAAACCATTCACCGAAGAATCTGATGATTTTTACAGTGGTGACGGTGGTTACAATATGACTTATGGCGCGCTAGAGAATGAATCTCTCGGCTTTCCCGACACTTTCGATTATGGCTATAATCAGCCGGGCGAAACGTTTGCCTATGGTACCCCAGAATTGACCGATGATCTAATCAGTCGAGGTTACCAACCTCAAAATTCTGTATCAGGGGCCACTTCAAACCCTTTTCTAGAACATGATCCTTCAAATCAACCAATCCACAGAAACCTGAACAGCGATAAAGAGGGCAGCATCAAAAATCACGCTTTTTAGTCTCAGTGTCCTCTCCAACCCAGCTCTAGGCTGTTTTGCTTTAAACTAATTACGTTCCAGCATTCTGGTTGCCACCGCAGTATGATTCACCACTTCCAAGAAGTTCAACTCTAGTCAGCACGGTCATCTTTCATCGATGTTATTCGTTTGCTACCGACAAACCAATTTCATCCAGTCTCAGCCGTCTCTTGAATGAAGGCGCCTTTGTATATAATAATTTTTTGCTGGACTCCGCTTTAAATCGTCGTAGTGAATGTTACGTACGTGAACAATAAAGTTTTATATTGTTTGTTCAGAAAAGAGCGACCAAAATCTCATGGCATAACGTGGGTATTGAAATTTTACATCGCATGGCTTTATCGGTCCAACTTATTGCTCATCGTCTACACATATGCACTTTGCAACAGAAAGTTTTCGATTTAAATTGAACGTTTAATATTAATACAAACTAAATTAAGTCATTATATGCTTCATCTACTGTTGAAACACTTCCTTATATCATTGGTAAATATAAATTCTAAGATTCTGCATCTCTACTTAATATTCTTCTGTTTAAATCAACTGGAGCTGGTAGATCATCTCTGAGGCTCATACCGATGCCGTGCTAGTAATCGTGAAGGTGAGGGTCGTCTGATTGCACGGCTGGAAGCACAAAAATTTATTTACGGAAATTCTAACTTTTCAACCGAATTGGCATCAGCCATCGTCAGAGAATGGACAGGATTGAAAAGCAAGCTGCTTGATACAATGGGTGAAAAGCTTGATTGGTCACCATTCACGCCATTAATCATGCTCCGCACCGCGGAACTGTCAATGGAGCCATCGCAATGGCTACAAGTTCTATTTTTGTTCGCTGTGATATGAAGCGACCCCTTGATTGACAGAGTTTCATCTTGTCGCGATGGCCACTGACCACCGTGAGATAGCTTTTTCGATCTTGCTTATTTCCTTATGACAACCGATGCCACCTTGATAAAAACGTTGGAATTTCTGTAAATAAACTTTTTCTTGCTTCCAACCATGGAATCAGAAGACCTATCACCTGACAGGAGGTTGACACCACTACCGCCATTTAAAATGGTTATTTAATTTTCCGTAATTCGATCTATCCTCGTTATTGGTGAGCCATGAACGCCAGTAGACACTCCTCCAAGATTCTCTATTCTCCACTTTCTGCTTTCACAGCCATGTAAGTCACGTAACCTTGGATTTTCTCGTCAGGTTTCTTGGACGACGGGGTGGACGTTTGCCTTGCAGAAAACTCAAGCGTGTAATTCCTCACCTGACATCCATCGGTCATCTTTCAGATGGAATGACTATTATGGTCAATAAGTCAGATGATGCTGAAATATCCTGGCTGTTCATTGCTTGTAGAACCTGAACAGCAGCTTAAGCAGACTTGTTTTGCCTGGTATTTCAGCCACTGTGGTATATGAATAAACGATGACGTCTCACTGTTGATTTGGACAACATCTTAGATATTCATAGGTGGCATTCAATCCTAGTCACCATAAGATTCTGTTTGCAGGTCTATAGCAATTACAACGGATTTACAATAGTACCAACCAATCGCAAGGAATGACTCATATGAGTTGCAGCGCTGAAAGACACAGTACAATTCTAATTGTTCTTGTTCCTAGAGGCTAGGAGACCATTCGATCAGACAAGGGTTGTTTAGTGTTTGAGTACATGCTATACATTGATACAATATAGAACTATAGTGTTGATCAGTTAATTCTGCCAAAACTTTCTGCAATGTGAGGTTTCGCCATTGCTTCACCTGCGATGAGAACAATAGGTTCAGATTCAGATTCACCTAGAAGGTTCAACTATCATACTATTTAAAAATTCCTTTAACTAATTACTGTATTATAACAGCAATCCCCATAGTTTATTATTTTCAATTTAGGGTCTGTGTCTTGTGTTGAGACATCATCAGCTATCAGGCTGGTCATGACGAATTGTAGCCATAAGGCACACGCCTGGGACAGCATCGCGTATGTATTGACCT